AAAAGGAGTTCGAGATGCTCCGAACACACAACAGAGGTGCGACACACAATGTAAAACATGCTTGGAAAAACAAATATTGCTCTTAGATACCCTATACCAATTACAGCCTACTATAAAGGGTATATTGAAGTTCTGAGAAGTTATTAAATAGAGAAAGGCACCCCGGCTTGGAGTCTAGGCAATTATTGGTCCATTGCAATACATCCTCACCTCCTTCCCTTTATCATACACAGTTAACTGTTTTTCATATTTTTAACTATCTCCTTCTTTTGAGGTTCTTATATCCTAAAGTTAGGTAAACCGTTTTTAAATTCAAAAAATGTTCTGCCCATCCATCGGGTAATTCTCTTTCTCTCTCTTTTTCTCCTTATTACTAATTATTGGCAATAGTCCCTGTCTATCTCTATCTTACTCTCCCTGCTATCTATTCTCCCTTGTTCCCTTATTTTAAAATGTTCTCACTATTTTCACATCTGTTTTTAACCAACTCTCACCCGCTTACTTTCCCTATTTCTTTGTCGTTTCTCTCTATCACTTATTTATTCTCCTTTTCTTGTTTACTCTCTTTCGCTCTCTTCTTCTTCTTCGTCCAAGTAATGCCTTTCTATGCGATTTTCAATTCTTTAAACGAGGCTTATTTGCTTAAGTTGTATGCTTTGATGCATACTCTTCCTTATTCTTAAGTATAAAACATAGAAGTGTCTTTTGTGTACAGGGTACATATTCTAGTCGATAACTGTGAAATGCATTTTCCTGATTAACAGAACGCGAGGAGACCTTGATGTCGGACTGTGAATGGCAGATGCGGCAAATGCAGCGTCAGTGCAAGGACAAACTGGACAAATCCAATTACGAACGCAAACAGGCAACGGCCAAGGCCGAGGAATTGGAACTGGAGCTGCAATCACGTCGCAAAGAGGCGGAAAGTTTGCGCATTTGCCAGGCACAGGTGAAGTCGCTGAGCGGCGTTGTAAGCGAACAGGAGCGCTCCATACAAACACTCATGGAGCGCATCGAGAATCTGAAAGGTGAACTGGAGACGGCCAATGACAATCTGGAGACACAGATCGAAGCTGTGCGCAAAATTAAGTATCAGTGTGATAAGTAAGTAAACCTGCCTGTCAATTTGGAGGATGTGTATCAATTTAGAATCCAATTGTAGCGCCATTTATGATAAGGAGCGTCAAATGATCTATCGCATCGATGAGGTGCGCAACGAAGCTGCCGCCTTTTGGGAAAATAAACTTTAGTAAGTGTTAGGAATATATGCATAAGATAACTGTAAGACTGGCTGGTATTATCGGTGTAATTTTTTCTCCAAATGTTAGCTAAACAATTTCCACGCATCTTTCGCCCGTGCGGGCGGATTGGTGAAACTCATCTGAAATGTATTTATCTAGATCTATTTAAATTAAGCTTGAATTTATGTCGGCTTAAAACCAAAGTATTGCATACAATAGTTTTTCACTTTTTTTTCACCCTCCGCGGTGAATATGTTCTTAGTGAATTTCTGGTGTTGCGCTTCCTCGCTTTGGTCTCTGCCGATCATTTACTACTATTCATCCACATTAATAATATATGTTTTTGTGATCTTCAACCACAGCACAGAGATGACAAGACTGACAAATGAACTGGAATCCGTTTATGTGGATGAGCGACGCGATGCCTTGGACAAGCTGCAGGCGGAGCACATCGAGGAGCTGCGTGCGCTAACCAATCGCTACACGGCCAATGAGGATGAGCTGCGTGCAGAGGTTTGGTCCGAGTATAATACGCATAGAGCACACTTTATAAATAATCCATGATTACAGATCGATGAGCTGACCGAGAATCTGGAGCTCAAAAAACAAGACTTTCTGGCGCTGCGCGAACGCTCCGACAATGCGCTTTTGCAGACGCGTATGCATCTGGATCGTGCGGATCGCGAGTATCAGAATGCCATGTGCCGGGAGGAGGACCGACGCGTCGAGCTCGAGGAGAAGCTGCGCAAGGAGTTCGAAATCGAAAAGCAGGAAATGGAAGAGAAATTCCGTGAACGTTTGGGTCAAGTCAAGGAGGAGTTCGCCAAGGAGCTGCAGCTGTCCACACAGGATTTGCACGAAACGCACCGCAAGGAGCTAGGTAAAAACCCATAACCCGTGCCAGGCGTAAAGTTCATTATTTTCCCCTATAGAAACCCAGAAGGCCAAGCTGCAAAGCGAAAAGGATGAAGCGCTGCAGGAGCTGGTCGAGCGACATCGCGCCAAAATGGCCGCTGCCGAGGAACGAATGAAGTGAGTGTCTTTTAGTCCGATACTGACATATATATGCCTAAATATATATACATATTTACCCTAGCTAACTGTATTAGAGCTTAACCGACATATTTATATATAGTTTATATAGTGCCTGCCAGTAGAATTCCGATTGTTTTTTGTTTGCCTTTCAGTTCATTCATTTTGCCTGCCACAATTTTCATATACATTTACTTGTCTTTTGTTTTTCTTTTACACACACACACACATAAACACACACGCTACTACATAAACATAGCTGCATTGGTTTCGATTGTGCGACCGCCTTGTGTGTGCTTGCGAAGGGGGCGTGTCCATATGTGCCCACCATCTATGTGCTATATCTGACCATGTCGCCATTGATTGCCTTAGCATGTTTAGTGTTCAATATAATCGCAGTGCTCTATATCAAATATGGTCATCTCTTAAACAGCATTTAAGTAGCACTAAGTTTTAAATATATGGCAACTGTGTCAGTCAATCAGTCAATCAATCTATCAATCACTTAGCAAGTTTGTGCCTGCTTTGCTACGTATTATCCGTTTGGCATATATGAATATATATATATATAACATTTACTTTCTCTTTTTTCGCTGTATACCTACCGCTGCCACCTCTCTCTCTCTCTCTCTCTCTCTCTTTCTCTCTCTCTGTTTGCTTGTGTGAAACCTCAAACCAAATCCTAACAACCTATCAAAATCGACACCACAGCGATGTAGAGCTTCGGCATCAGCGCAATCTCAAGGACTTAAAGGCGGCCTACGATGCCGAGAAGGCGGCGCTGGACAAACGCGACATTAGCAATGCCAACGAGATCGAGCAACTGCATCGCAAATGTCGCTGCCTGACCAATCTGTAAGTTCAGCCACCAGAAAAACAACAACAACAACAACAACAATAACCCTGATCATAACCAACGCTTAGCCATGTCGTCTTTGTTGTGTGCTAAGCTGTCGTTCCTGTAGCCCGTCTGCCGAACTAATCCGAACTTTTTGTGCCGTTCACAGTTTCGAGGAGATGCGCATGCGCTATGAAAGACGTGATCCACGCGCTGAGGACCTGCGCGAGATCTCGGAGCTGCGTACGCGCTGTGATAGCCAGGAGCGGGATCTGTTTGTGCTCACCGACAGGCTGCGCGAAATGCAAAACCAAATGTCCGAGCTGCAGCAGAATGGCGAGGCGGCGTCGCGTGGCAAGGCATTGAAGAAGCCGCCACCCAAAACGTTACCCACCAGCTGTGATGTCATCTACGAGGAGAACGAAGAGCGTGAATCGCCCGAGCATGAGACGGGCAGCTCCTCCAGCCAGGATGATGCCGAACATGATGAACAGGAACAGGAGGAGGACGAGGGCGAACAGGAGCCCAGCGACACCGAATCGAATCACACGATTGAAATCAATGGCAAATGCAACGATCGCATTAACGAGGACGATGCCCACATGATCTCAGCCGTCTGATCCGCTCAACTTCGATCTTTCGTTTTGAGTTTAAGCCAGGCAAAAGTCCCAGCAACTGAGGCGCCGTCGAGCTGAGCCGAATTGCTGCCAGCGACGAGTGTCCTCCACTCACTAACCACACGCTGCACAGCCGATCCTTGGGCCAGAGATGCCCTTTTATTTGCACTACTGACAGTTTTCAGAAAACCTGCACATGCACCCACAATTAAACACATAAAAATTGTAAAATAAATTAAATCTAATTGGTTTATGAAACCGCTGTTAAAAAAAACAAAAAAAAACAGACCAAAAACAAAGAACGAAATAAATGTAAATATTTTTAACAAGTTGTTGGAATATGTCTTACACTAGACAAGAGCTCAGGAAGTCGCAGAGAGCATTACAATAGAATCACAAATATAATAGCTCACAGAAGAAGTGTTAAAATAGTATATATATTCCTGATCAGTAGCAACAGCCGAGTGAATATATTCTTAGTATCTGTGCCAACCAGGCTCTCCGCTTAAAAGCTCTCGTCGTAACCGACCGAATCGGACTACTATATCATATAGTCCTATAAGAAGGATTGATTGTAAATTAAGTAGCTATCAGTTTAAACTTATCAAAATTGGGCGACTATAACATATTGAAAAGATCGGTCGCATATTATGTTTTGTGTGAATTTGTTTTTGTTGCCTACCAAGATATCTTGTCTCGTTTCACTAAACTTTTTAGATTGCATGTTAAGCATCTAGTTTATTGAAATATCTTGACCAACCTGGCGTTAATTAGTTTCACGTTGCCACTTACCAAATCTTTTCAACATTGAACTATTTAAATATCCGGCTCCATGAGAAGAATCGGTCGCAAACTACGATTTTGCATGGAAATATTTCAGAAAGAGTTGCACCATTTTCTTCAGATATCTACAAAGCCATAAAATTGTTAATAGAGGCTCATTCTTGTTTTATAAAATAAATTATAGTTTCTAAATTTTTAAAAATTAGTTTTTTATTAGAACAAAGTCAAAAGTGAGTTAAAGATTAATTAGTCAGAAACAGTCAGGACTACTTGTCTATTTTATATTATGAGGTAAGGTTCTATAGATAAATTACCGATCACTTTCCATATAGCCAAGTAAATTTTCATTTTTTTTACTTATTAACCTGCTCAAAGTTGATCTTCCTTTTTTTTTTAATTAATTAAAGCGGCAAATCAATTTGATATGTAATAATATGTGCGCCTAAAAGCAATTTAAAATTTAAAAATATGTTTTGAGATCGGTTTCATCTAGACCCTTGAGAATGCTTTTGCGGCACCCCGTCTTTGCCAGCGAGCCATGATCAATTCTCCGATGAAAACAAATCCTGCTGCGGCATATAATATTGCCAACAGTTTCCAAACCCAGAGCAGATCCTCATTATTTAATGGAGCGTGCGTAAACTCTGTATGTGAGCTTATTGGATCGACAAGCTCCTTCTTGGATGCCACCAAGCTGCGCATAGAGGCCAGTTGCCAGTGGTGGCAGAGACCAACTTCGTGAGCCTTATAAATAAACTCGTTGACAGCGTTTATGTAAATAGAATTGTTCCTCAAAAGGCCCACAATGGGATAGCCATGGAAAAGGCTCAGTCCTGGCGACGCGCACAGGACATGCCTTTTGAAATTCTTCTGGTGACTATTCACGATATCCCACAACTTACTGAATGCCTGATAGGCATTGCTCGAGTTCAGGGCAAACATCATATCGTTGCGTTGATTGTTCGGCATGAGAACAATATTGGGTATTTTCAAGAGTTGATTTTTCACCTGAACCTCAGTCACATTCGCAATGATTTTGTCGAACATGACGGGCAATCCGCTTTCCGCCAGCTCCTCAAAGTTCTGGACGTGTTGATAGCAGGGCGGCTTGGTCAGCAGAGCGCTCAGGTTGGCATTGAAATAACAGCCGAAAACCAAACTGAATATGCTCATGACCATAAGAAACTGTCGCAGCGATAGGCTTCGATACCGCCGCATGCCAATGGGATGACCCAGAATGCCTGCAAATGATTGCAGATTTATGAAAAATGTTGAATAGCCGAGGCGCGAGCTGCGCCGCCAGATGTGCTGGCTGGCCAGCTTAAGCGTTGTCTCGAGCAGCGCAAACAGAAAGTAGGCGCCAAGCATCACAAAAAAGTAGGTTCTCATACTTTTATAAACATCAGCCAGTCTCATTTCCTGGCCGCAGGGAACGACAACAAATAGTTCAACGATATCCACATAGGCCGAAGACTCCGTGCTGAATGTCTGTATGCGTCCATGCATTGGGAAGTCCACTTCACCCTTCGATACCATTATCTCAATATTCCGACTATCGATCCAAGTACTCTCATTCTCAGCTCTTAGCAGGCGTAGTTCTATGTTATATTTCCGGGCAAACTCCTTTACGAGTCGAACCATGAAGCCGTCCAGATATTGGCTGCCCGTGCGCTTGTCCAAGAGCAGATAACTGCTCGGTGGATAAAGACTGGGCACTGTTATGGCCACCTTTCGGCGGAAGTCTCGCCAGACTGGCAAAAACAATGGTACCTTATTTAAATTACTTATAAGTTTAAGAGTTACATTGGGAAATGGTTGTAATCTATAGACAATTATCGAGTCTTCGAGAGCATACGAGCCTGTACGTAAAACCAAGAGGTTGATCAAACTATATCTCTCTGCCTGTTCGGTGATAATAGACAGAAATTCCTGTAGATCCGAGTCCATAATATGTAACAACACAATGATTGGCGCCGCTCTCATGCGATTTAGATTCTGGGCCAAGGTGCTCAGCAGGACGGCATCTCTGTGCTCGGCCATGCAAACCAGAGTGAGGGCCTCGCTGTTAAAGAGCTGCTTTATGTTAATTGTGATTCGTTCATCTAGGCGAAGAATAGATATTTCCAAGGAATTGATGTCCTGCAAAGGGCAGTTGCTGTCCTGCCGGCGTTGCATTAGCAACAGCGTATCCACGGATCTTTCCCTCTGAACTCTCTCTATGATGTTGTTGATAAAATTAGTTCCTGGCGTTTCTTGTTCTGCTAATTCTGGAAAAGAGTTCAAGCCGCCAGCTAGAAGCAGCAGCAGCAGCAGCAGGCTAAAGATAAACGAGCTAAAGCTTAACATTCTGGGCCAAGTATTAAGAACGAACTGAGACATGGTTAGGACTTTTTACAGCTCCTAATAAAATGTACATTAATCAAATTGCTTTGAACTTCAGTTTTATCGAAGATTGTGGTCGGCACACGTGCATTATACTCGTTGTCAAAACTCAAAACAGGTGGGATAACAATCAATGTGGTCTTATAATTTGTCTTCAGAATAAAAAAACAAATAAGAGTGCTAGACGAGAGTGCCCAACTAGCAGATACTCTAAACGCAGCATTGAGCCTGTACAAACATTGTTGATTTCTTTTACACACACAAAAATGCACATATACACACACATATACAACATATTTTATAACATTCGAGTTATGCTTAAAAAGTAATTGTCGAAATCGATTTTTATCGATAACAAGAAAGTGAAACCAATAAAATATATTATTTTATAGTTCAGTGTTAGATTTGAGAACATATGTATCAAACTTTGATTGCCCAGCTTTTGGGGTTTTCGAGGCCGAGACTGATGAACAGACGAACTGAGGGAGGGACGAAATATATTAAGTCGACTCAAATCGTCCTCCTGATCAAAAACACAAGAAGTTACTCGGATGAAAGATACTTTCTCAAAGTAGATGCATTTTAGGTGCACTTGCAGGAATCCGTTTTATCCATTTTAAATATGTGCAGGGTATGCAAACTAAGGTGCGACCCTTTGTCCCCACCGAACCAGGAAGTATGCAATGAGAAGTGAATTGCATTGAAGGGGTCAAATATTAATATTCTAGTATATTCTAAGTAGTGTGTAATTTGTAAAAATTAATCATCATTAATTACCTGTTGCAGCGTTACCATAACACAATTGTTTTTGTTTTTATTCTTGTGTCTAAATGCAGAACATGTTTTTGGCGTGCTAAAAGGTATTTTGACAGGGTATTATTAGCGAAAAGATAAGCTACGCGGCACAAGTGCTATATAAGGCCTGTGCTGTTCCACCAGACTAATTAAGAGTCTTTTTTTCGGAGCTGTTAAATGATATCCCAAGCGATTTTTAGAAAGTTTTGCTTGCTGCTTCTGGCATTTGAGGGCTGTGAGTGCAAAGTAAGTAAATCTTCAAATCCTTTTGCACTGCACAATTGATCAGGATACTCGTACTTGGATAGCGTAATTGGGACTACGACCCGATATCCCTCACCGGCCACAGTTCAGATGAGACTAAGCTCAAGCCCGATTTGCGTGTAGAACGCGTGGGTCGCTACGAAGCTGGCTTTTCGGGCACCCTGGACTGTCTATATTATCGATTACACAACTATGGTGAGATTTGAGGAAATATTACTATAATAGCTATTAATCAATTTAGTATTTTGGCATAATTGACAGGTTCCCTTCGCCTTGCCAAAGAAACCTGTCTGGACGACAAAGGCCGTATACGATGATATGCTATATCCCAATATTCACCGCTGTTGATTTGTGAGATTTGGGAACCGTGGTCCAGAAATCTGTACAAAGGCTCAAGTATTGGAGAATGGTTTCTATTGGGCTTAAGTAATTGGTAATTGGGCTTCGGTAATAATATAAAATGTTTAATAAAGGAGAGCTGCACTGCGACTATCGTCGTCTGTGCTGCCTAATTGAGCAGGACATACTCCCCTATCTAAACTGGGAAGTCAAACTCTCTGCCCTTTGCTGGTGGCATTCGAAGAGTATGTGCACCTTCCAGCCAAAAGGCAATCTTGCCAGAGAATTTCTGATCTGATTGAAGTCTACGGGATGCCACAAAAAACCTCTAAAAGGGGATACTGACCTGGCTCTTGTGAGCTCGTCCGCTTTTTCCTTGCTAGACAAGGTGCAAGGATATTCATACTTAGCCCTTTTGCGTTTCCAAGTATGTAAGAATGTAATTCTATTTTCAGTTTGTGGGAGCTATAATATTATAATTCAAATGAATAATATATCGAAGGAACTGCACGGAAACAAGCGCAGATCCGCGTATCTTAAATTTGAATGGGTGCATGTTGAATAGATTCGAAGGAATAAGAACATCTCGCTTTTGAATAAGTTAAACTAAGTAACAAACCAAGCAAAACAACAAAAGGTGCAGAGCATAGCTAGTTATATTACCTGAAAAGCAACTAAGACCCGATTAAATTTTCCCTATATTAGGTTCATTCCATTAGAATAATGTTGAGCTTATCCTTACAACAAAAGTCAAGCTCCAATCGACCTCGCCAGTCACGATGATCTTTACCTTATAGAAACCATCCACCAATATTTCAGGCCATATTCCATTTTTAAAGTCACACATATGAAATTTGTACAGATTCCTGGGCCATGGATGCAAAATATCCCCTTCAAATCGTGGCATATTAGAACAGCGTTTAGTATTGGGATATAGCAGATTATCATATTCGGCCTTTGAATTCAAAAGAGTTCTCTTTGGAACGGCGAAGGGAAGCCGCATGTAGTCACTTTCGCTACCGCTGGCGCTGCGAAAGATCTCAACCTCAATCTACCAAGTATTCAAAAATAGAAAGTTTAATAATAGCTATTATAGTTACATTTCCTCAAATCTCACCATAGTTGTGTAATCGACATCATATTGCCAGTCCAGGGTGCCCGAAAAGCCAGCTTCGTAGCGACCCACGTGTTCTACACGCAAATCGGGCTTGAGCTTAGTCTCATCTGAACTGTGGCCGGTGAGGGATATCGGGTCGTAGTCCCAATTACGCTATCCAAGTACGAGTATCCTGATCAATTGTGCAGTGCAAAAGGATTTGAAGATTTACTTACTTTGCACTCACAGCCCTCAAGTGCCAGAAGCAGCAAGCAAAACTTTCTAAAAATCGCTTGGGATATCATTTAACAGCTCCGAAAAAAAGACTTCTAATAGGTTTGGTGGAACAGCACAGGCCTTATATAGCACTTGTGCCGCGTAGCTTATCTTTTCGCTAATAATACCCTGTCAAAATACCTTTTAGCACGCCAAAAACATGTTCGGCATTTAGACACAAGAATAAAAACAAAAACAATTGTGTTATGGTAACGCTGCAACAGGTAATTCATGATGATTAATTTTTACAAATTACACACTACTTAAAATATACTAGAATATTAATATTTGACCCCTTCAATTCACTTCTCATTGCATACTTCCTGGTTCGGTGGGGACAAAGGACAAAGTTACATGTACCTTTTAATTTATTTTGTCGACATTTCGTCCCATTTAAATTTATATTGGGACCTGATCCTTTATCATAAATTATACGAGCTAGAATTTTCTGTCTTCTTAGAGATGAAGATATTTTTGTATACAATTTTAGGATTTATTTCTATCTGTCAGATACCAACAGGTGCTTCTGGGTAGTCGGGATCGTCTGTTTTAAAGAAATTTAAAAATGAATGCCTCAAATCACCTGTAAATGCGTAGGAGATTTCGTTGAATCTATTGCTTATTTTGCGATTCGTTCAGTTTTCTCTTAGTTTCAATTCGCATCGTTTCGTTTAGCTTGTACGCTTGTATATGTGTTTTGGTCGTTCTCTTTGCGTGCAAGGCGCTCTCTTTGTTTCATTCCCCTGAGTGAAATGCTCAGTTAATCCGCTGAGCGCGTTTCGTTGCATTCCGACGTTTCACTTCGCTTCGTTTAGTTCATCTGCTTGGAGCTCGTAAGGTTTCATATCATACGTTTCGTTGCTGTTGCCGAGCAACTCTTGACGAGAACGGACGTGTTTTTCTTCGCAGCGGCAAGCACAGCGAGTACAACGAAAGAACAGACAGCGATAAATACAAAACACGGTAACTTAAAAGGATAAAAAGAGAAGTGCAAGAACGCAATATTAATAAAATACTTTCTTCGAACGAACGTAAGTTTGTTTTTGTTGCTCTTGAAATTCGTTGTTAAACAAAAGTGAAAATGAATCGGGGAATCATGTTTAATTTTATTTTATGTTACACGTTTTGGTTTTGTGTTTCGTCTTAAGTTGAATTTGTACAAAATGCAATTGAACATAAATAAAAATCATTTAACGGGGCGCGTGTGCGGTACATAATAATAATAATAATAATAATAATAATAATAATAATAATAATAATAATAATAATAATAATAATAATAATAATAAAACAGAAAGCAATAAAGACAATCAAATAATTATAATACGAGTATATGACAAGCTTGAGAGCTTCACGTGCAGCATAAGAAATCGTGATAACACACACACACACAAACACACAGACAGGGAGCATCAGCAGCAGCGGCATCAGTATTTTGTTGTTGCTGTTGTTGTTCTTGTCGTGTGCACGCTCAGTCGCCGTTAACATCGTGTGTGTTCCTCCAGCATCAGCAGCAGCAGCAACAAAAACAAACGAGCAATTTTCGTGCGTCGACAGCGCTGCTGCCGGCTGCTGCAATTATGTGTAGCAGCAGCGACTTTTTAAATAAAAGGTAGACAGCAAAAACAACAACAAGACCAACAGGCAGAAGCTGCCGCTGCCGCTGCCATAGCCTCTGTCTCAGTCTCAGTCGCTGTCGCTGTCTCTTGCATGCAATTAATGTACACAGTTTTTTTTGCATAAATAAATAACAACAACAACAACAACGCATACAATTTGTGTGTTTTTGCCGGCAGACGCTCTCGAGCGACGCCGCCCCAAAGGTCGTTGGCGCTAAGGTCACAGTCAGACAACGCGCGTAAGAGAGAGAGAAAGAGAGAGCGAGCGTACGAATTTTATGTTGCAAGTGTGACATCAAGGAGCGCAACAACAACAATTGAAGCTCTTTGCGACGGTTATCGCGCCAACAGAACGGTAAATCTGCAAAACGCGTGTGTTTCGAGTTTTTTAGATAATATAAAACATAAATTCAACAACAATCAACACCAATAGCAGTCGCTGCCAACGTCAACGCAGCTTCCAAATTTCATGGTAAGTGCCGCTACTTTTATTTCCCTTTTGCCCTTCTACTTTATTCGCATTTGTCGTTGTTATTGTACATGATTTGCAGTCACATTCGACTATGGCTGCGCTG